CCTAAACCCTAAACCCTGAAGATCCTAAACAAAGACACCGCCTTCCGGCGCGGGCAGGTGAGCAGCGACTGGATGTGACCCCGAAGCGCCTGAATTAGGCGCGGGAGGTCCTCAGATGCAACGCGTCTTTGCGTTCATTCGAGCTTTGGGGCGCTTCTTTCGGGGGGGGGGGGGGGGGGGTTTAGGGCTTAGGGTTTAGGCTCTAGGACTTTCTGTTTTAGGGTTTTTTTAGTTTAGGGTTTAGGGTTTAGGCGTTCATTACAGAGCTCTATTTGCTTTAGGTCATTTTAGGTTTTTTTCAGGGTTTAGGGTTTAGGGTTTAGGCGTGCATTACCCATAGGCCCCATACTAGTTCCTTGTTGGGATTGAAAAATAGGATCCTAAATATAACCCACAAAAAGGAACTACTATGGGGGAGACTTTGGATGCTGGGATCAACATCAAATTGTTTCCATGTTTCTTGCCGTGCTCGGCTTCATACACTCGCAGGCTTAGCACTATGACTTAGCAAGTCTGCTACACGGCAGGTTTTCCTTACCTAGTCACGCTACCGTGAGACTGAAGCCATGCTCCATGGCTTGTAGGGTTCAAAAACCCTAGAGAGCCCAATACCCCCTGATTGAGGAAAATACACATACACACCTGAAACCGCCGGATTCAACCTCCTATAACTTAAGCTATATCCCTCAATTAAAGGGTGTTGGGCTCTCTGGGCCTACGATAAGCCTGCATCCTCGGATCCAAATAGGCTGCAAAGAGGAAGGCATCCAGCAGCACGGCTGCATCCTCGGAGAAGTCTGCCTTGTCTCGGCTGGAATTTGTAGGAGTATTCTGGGTTTGGGGTCCGAAGGGGGATTTCGGGTTGCAAGAATAGTTAGTTTAACTAGGTTGAGAGAGGTACCCCAAACCCCATGCAAGCCCAAACTTCACAATTATTTGAGTGGTTGTCAAAATTAGGTCCCTTTTTGGGTCCTTATTATAATACGGCACCTATTATTTAGGGTACCCCAAAAGGGACCATAATTTTGACAACTACCCATAACCCTAAACCCTAAACCCTAAACCCTAAACCCTAAACCCTAAACCGTCCCCATTTGTATCTTTGGAGATCTGGAGCTAGGCACCTTGTCACAGTAGAATGCGCGGGCCAACACCAGCCGCACGGACTCTTCTCGCGACCTTGGTCACATGCAGGGTTTAATATAGGAGCCTTTAGTAATTAGAACGGGATTTGGGGGGGAATATTATACTATAAGACTAAGAAGGAGCCCCAAAAATAATAAGATAGGTAATTTATTTAGGCCCCTATATTACGCGCTGTAGGTTAAGATGTAGGGCATCGCAGGGTCTGCTCAAGGCCGTGTACTTATGTGTTCTGACCATACTAAAGGGCTTAGAGCTTGTCTACTTCGAGTTCAGGGGGAGTTGGGGTTTAGGGTCTAGGGTTGAGGGTTTAGGGTTTAGGGTTTAGGCCTCTACTTGCGTGCGACGTTTACTTAGGGTTTCGTTGTTCCGAGATCAGGGTGCCTCAGCCCTAAACCCTGTAGAGTGAACCACAGACAGTTGGAACATGGATTTTGGATGATTAGTGCGGGGATTCCCTATAGTTTACCTTAAGGGCACGAGGATAACGATGTTCCAACTTTCCTAAACCCCCAACCCCTAAACCCCTAAACACTAGACCCCAAAACCCCACTTTAGGGGTAAGAAGCGTAGGCTTTGGGTTGGGTTCGCCACGGCTTCGGATGTTTCCTTCGTTGCTGGCCATACGAGAGCGAGGCTCTTGCTAATGGGGCCTTAAACCCTAAACACGGTTTAGGGTTTAGGGTTCAGGGTTCAGGATTTAGGTTTAGGGTTTGGGGTTTAGGGTTTAGAGTTTAGGGTTTAGGGCCCTAAACCCTCAATAGGGGCCTCAATAATTACCTATACTATTTTGTGGGTTCCTCATTATAATTATAGTGTAATGGGCCCCGAAACCCTTATTCTAATCATTAAGGCCCCCATATCACACCCTAAAAGACTAGGGCTTTGGGGTACATTCTGTTATGTAGCTATAGCAAGGCATACCAGTAGTGGTAATTTGTTGAGGCCCCCTAGGCCCCCTAAATTTTTCAGGAAACAAGAATCCGATATCTAGAATTTCTAAACTCCATACACAATAAACATAAGGACAACAGCACGACCGATGACACAACACCAATTACTGTGATAAGAACAGCAGCAGCAGCAGCAGTAGAAAGCACAATGAGAGGGGCGATGATCCAAAACTCTGCATGTCGTGCAACAATGCCTAGTTATATCACCATATACAACACCTCCTTCGCACGAAACTCATTTTGAAAAGGAGTTGTAGGACAATCCCTAAACCTAAACCCTCACACAAGCCTACAAAACCCTAACGTGGTTATGAAATCTTAGAAACCCCTTAGACAGCCATTTAAAGTCATGTACTTGGAGGTTCATGGGTAGTTATCAGTAGGGTTATAAACCCCCCAATATGGGTTATAACGATAGTTACCCTGCTTACAACCCCACTTATAACTACCCATGAACCCTAATTCCTAAACTCTAACTTAAACCCTAAAACCCTAAACCCTAAACCCTAAACCTTATAACTACCCATGAACCTCCAAGTAAGCTCAGTCCAGGAGCACGGGACTCTCCACTTCCGGCGTAGCTTCCTCGGAAGTGGGCGTCCAACGCAGGAACTTTGCCGACATCGGAGTCTCCTGAAGCCGTCGGCTAAGCCTTTAGGGTTTAGGGTTTAGGGTTCAGACTAGTCGACAAGGGCATTATACAGGCCTCGCTTCTTGGGCTTTCTAGAAGGACACCATGATTGCAGCTACGTCAGGGTTGTTGTCAGGATTCTGTGACGGTTTAGGGCTGAGGAGTCACGGTTTAGGCAGGCGGTCCACTTGGAGACTGGACTACGTACGAATTAGTGTCAATCATCGATTCCGTCAGTGAATTCGCCTTGACCTGGCAAGGACCAGGACGCTTCGAACCCCTTGCGCTCGCAAAAAACCATGGGAACCCAAGCTTCGGAAACAACAATGGGTTCCATATCAGGTTATAGCAAGGTTCTATAAGGCTTGAGGGTTTGGGGTCTATAAGGCTATCAAACTTTATCGGGTCGTGCGAGGCTTCGATAAAGGTTCTGTCAAGGCTGCTGGCGTTCCCAAGCAAGTCCCCTAAACCCTAAACCCTAAACCCCAAGTCTCCTTGTCGCACAAGAGGATCCTATGCACCGCGATGCGCCAGGAGCCATCCGGGGCCACCACAGTGGCATCGCTGGCCATGCCCGATTCCAGAAGCTTCGGGAAATGCTCCTCTGAAGGACGGTGGTGAGGGCCCAAACCCTAAACCCTAAACCCTAAACCCTAAACCCTAAACCCTAAACCCTAAACCCTAAACCCTAAACCGTGGTGGTGAGGGCCCAGCGCTTAAGGAGCATACCCACAGGGCCCAAGTGCCTAATAGTCATATACTCTCCCAAATATTAACCCAGAAAACTACCATCCGCAACCAAAGTACCTGAATATTGGGTCCTTTGGACCCTTAGGGATAGGCTTTGGCGACAGGGGATTGGGATTTAGGGTTTCGGGTTTATAGGAAACAATATTGCCCGGGAAGTGGCTAATTGCTTGAATGTGGCTACGTGCGATATCAGCACATTCCGAGTCTGTAGGTGCTGTGGCACAGGACCAGACTACAACGGCCTATCGGGCACCTCGCACATACAAGGTGAAGTGTTCCAGACTTCCTAGACCGCGGCCGGTCTGAACCCTGAAATCTAAACCTTAAGCCCTAAAATCCCTAATCCACCCTAAATCCTGAGGTCTCAACCCTCGGCCCTCAATGCTCAACCCGAAACCCGAAGACCCTAAAGTCTAAACCCTAAACCCTAAAGCCTAAATCCCCAAACTCCTGCGGCGACGCGAGGCCCTGGATCAACTCCCAGCGGTGGCAGGCCAGGCTCGACTCCTTCGTCCGTCCGTATGCTTTCGGGGTTTAGGGTTTCGGGCTTCGGGTTTGGGGTTTAGGGATTCGGATTTTAGGGTTTAGGGTTTTTGTTTAAAGTGCAGTGCGCGCCTTTTCTGTGCAGGCAGGGCACTCCCCATTTCGGAGGTGCAGGGTTTAGGGTGTAGGGTTTAGGGTTCCTTTAAGGTTAAAAAACAGAACAGATCTGCAGCTCTGACACTGATGTATGCAATTACAAATATATACATGTTTGGACATGAACTAAGAAAAATTTGAAAGTCCCTCTAAACCGTTCCGAAGAACCAATAGAGCAATAGAGCAATAGAACCCCGACAAGACCCTTGAATCCAAACCTAAAGCCCTGAAGCTGTAAAAACCCCCTAAAACCCCTACAGAACCCTAAATCCCGGAACCCTGAAATCCCAACACCCTTGAAAGGAAACCTATAGAACCTGAAAAGAGAAGCCTAAACGCCCTACAGAATCCTTAAGGAGAAGCCGAAACCCTGAAACCTTTGAAGGGAACCTTTTCGAACTCTAAACCCTAAACCCCAAACCCGACACCCTGAACGATTATAGAACCCTAAACCCTAAACCCTTATGGAACCCTAAGCCCTAAATCCTACGCCCTTATAGAACATTGTGAAACCTTATAGAACCCTAAACCCTAAACCCTTAGAGAACCCGAAATCCTTAACCCTAGAACCGCAGACCCTAAACCCTTCAAGAACCCTAAACCCTAATCCTTTACAGAACCCTACACCCCAAGCCCTAAACCGTTGCAGAAAACTAAAACCTAAGCTCTATAAATCCTAAACCCTAAACCCTAAACCCTAAACCCTAAACCCTAAACCCTAAACCCTAAACCCTAAACCCTTCCAGGGCCCTGAAAGAGACGCCGAGGGGCCTCCTCGGCCGTCTTCGGCTCCCCCGGCTCCGGCTCCTGGCCCCAAAGCTCTGCGTTTGAAGGGTTCGGGGTTTAAGGTTTACAGGGTTCAGGGTTTAGGGTTTATAGGGGTTTAGGGTTCAGGGTTCAGGGTTTAGGGTGTATAGGGGTTTAGGGTTTAGGGTTCAGGAAGGTTGTTGGAAGAGTTACGTGAGGGTGATTATAGGGTTTATAGGGCTTGTGGGCTTGATAACGGTGTTGTAAGTGCTACGAAAGGGGCGATTAGGACCTTTTTCTTAGGCGTCGATTAAGGTTGTAGAAGCTTGTCTTTCCCGACGGTATCGGGTTGGCCTCCTGGTGGCCTCTTGGTGGTCCCTTGGCGGTCTCTTTGTGATCTCCTGATGGTCTCCTGGTGGTCTACTGATGGTCTCCTGGTGGTCTCCTGGTCTCCTGGTGGTCTCGGTGGTCTCTTGGAGGTGTCATGGCGATCTCCTCTTCGTTGTCGTCCTCGTCGAAAAACCCCGAAGGCAACTAATTGCGACCTGCTTTTGCAAACATAGCAGCCACTGCCCCGGCGGTCGTGCCTTCCTGGTCCTCTGGCATGCTTCAGGTATGGTCTTTCATTGTTTGGGGATCTCGGCTGGGATAGTAGTGACTAATCGTGCGCATAAAGGTTTTATGATGCACAAGCTCACGTACCTGCTCTCGCTCTCGCTCTATCTCAACCTGTCTCTCTCTCTCTCTCTCTCCCTCCCTCCTCTCTGCTTCCGTACACAGTCCTACATGCACATACAGATTACAAGGTGTGTATGAACATCTGCATACACGCGCAAACACTAATCCCAAAGTCGAGTAAATCAAATAGATAAACATAACAACCTGATGAGTCAACCCGCATCAGATATGATGGACAGAATTTTACCTGTTTAGTGTGTACAGAGAATATATATATATATATATATTTATATATATATATATATATGTGTGTGTGTGGGTGTGTGTGCACGTGTGTATAGAGCATGTATGCATGTATTGTATTCTATTGTAATGTATTGTATGCATGTATGATTTTAAACAGGCCGACAGGGCGGGCTGTGCGGGGGACGCCCGTTGATCCTCGGCGCGGCTTGGCTTTGGCTCCCGGTTTTGGGGCTGAACGGCTTTGCTAGGGTCAAGGGGTTAGGGCTGTTTTGGCTGTAGTGGCTTTTACTTGGAGGTTCATGGGTAGCTGTAAGTGG